CGGCACTCCGGACCAGGGCGTCCTGGACGCCCTGGTCTGCATCCCCTCTCAGACTGTGCAGGTGCTCAGGGATGTTTTCCTGCGCAAATGCGCAGGTGTGGAGAGATGTTCCTGCGCACATGCGCATATGTTTAAGAGAGAACAAAAAAAATTAAAGCAGCCACTGCTAGCCCATGCAGTTGCTCCATCTCCCTTTGCGGCATCCTTGGGGCTGGCGGTGTGGCTGCTGGGGCTTCAATACAGCCTAGGAAAAGCTGCATTGATTCCCTCTAATGCAGTTGCTCCATCCTCATTTAGGGCAACCTCAAGGTAGGCAGTGCGGTTGCTGCAGCTTAGGGAAAAGGCAACTTCAGATCACCTTTTCTTGCCCATCTGCATAGCCTCTGTGGCTTCTATGATCCTTTCCCATTGACTAGGGCTGATGGGAGATGGAGTTCATCCTCATCTGGAGGGCCATACATTCCCCATCCCTGCTCGGCAGCCATAGAGAATCATGAACAATGGTCATGACCGTCTCACTGACCATATCAATTTTTATTACTATTTCATGTAGGGATGTTTTGACCTCAATGATTTCTAGAGTCAGAGTTGGAAGGTATCTTGGAGGTAATTTAGTCCTACCCTACTACTCAATTCATGTGATGTGAAATGTAGGATGGAACAAGAGAATCCCTAATGGATGCTTTGTTTTTGCTTGTGGCATGTTTCATTGGTTGATTAGTGGGAGCTTTACTGTGCTATAGGATTAATTGTAGTAGTGGGTGAAATGGGGAGCAAGTTGTGGTTCAGTGGTAGAGGGTATATGGCTTGTATGTATAAGGTTCTAGGTTCAATTCCCAGTATCTCTAGGATACTTAGGGAAATCTTGGAAACTTTCCCACACTCCTGTGAGCCAGAAAAAGCAATACTGGGTAACACTGCATATGTTTTTGTCCTGCCATAATTTAGTAATGGAATATTTAATTGGATAGGATATTTTAAGAATGTTTTAGAACTGTGAACTCAGTCCAGGTGCTGAGATAAGCCAGGAAAGGAGTCAAACATAGTAAAAAAACATACTCAAGGTCATTTGATAGAGCATCTGGCTGTAACAACAGAAAAAAAGAGGCAATGTGGGAAATAGCAGGAGAAATGTGTTTAGTAATTTTAACAAATAAGATTTAAGCCCCCCTGATGTTTGAATTGTGTGCAGTTTATGTTGTTGTAACATTTGTTGGTCACTTCTGACAATGGAAGTCACCGGACAGGACCAAAAGTTCCTTTATAAGGCTTCTGAGTTTCTACTTTGTTGATGACTTCGGCCCATTTGAATGAGTCAACCTGTGAATGAAACATCTCCAAGACCCCCTATCCTCTGCCTGTCTGCTCAGGTCCTGTAGGCTCAGGCCCATGATCTCCCTGATTGAGGGCCTCGGCAGATGGCTAATTGAGCCGTCTTCCGGGCCCAGAAGAGGAGGGGCAGCCGCACGAGCGGCGCCCCTTCCTCTTCCCGAGGTCGCCCTCGGAGTCACCGGCACTCCGGGGATGACCTCACGCCGCGGCGACCGGACGCGCCGCGGCATTTGAGTCAGGGAAAGTGCACCCACCGCTTTTAGGGCGCACTTTCCCTGAAATCTAAAAGGAGCGCCAATTTGGAGCTCCTTTTAGATTCGCTGCAGGAGCACCGCGGTGCGGAGGCTGAGCTCTGCCGGCGCTCCGACCCACGGCATCTCCGGGGCCTCCATCTGCTGAGGCCCTGAGTCTAGCCATCTGGCTTGCAGTTTTTCTGTCTTTCAGCTGTCTTCCACTTTTCCTAGCATCATTGACTTTTCTAATGAATCTTTTCTTTTCATGGTGTGTCCAAAGTATGACAGCCTCACTTTAGTGATCCTGGCTTCCGGGGAGAGTTCAGACTTTATCTGCTCTAGGACCCATTTGTTTGTCTTTTTGGCCATCCACAGTATCCTCAGCACTCTTCTCCAGCACTACATCACAAATGAGTTGATTTTCTTTCTGTTTACTTTCTTTACTGTCCAGGTTTCACATCCATATGATGTGATGGGGAATATGATGGCTTGAACAATCCTTACTTTAGTATTCAGCATTATGTCTTTGCATTTTAGTAACTTGTCAAGTTCCTTCATAGTTACCGTTCTACTATTGAGTGTGAATTTCTGAAGTTGGGAATCCTGCTGGACTTGACAGTATATGGGTCCGTTCAAACTGCACATTGATAGAACTAGTGTTCCACTTTAACTGCCATAGTTCCATCCTATGGAATCCTGGGATTTGTAGTTTGATGAGGCACTGGAGCTCTCTGGCTGAGAACTCTTAAATGCCCCTCCCTGACCTGCCAATCTCAGGATAGAACCATGGGAGTTAAAGTGGAATAATAGTATATAGTGTGAATGGGTCCCAGTTATAAGATAGGGTCACATTTTTAAAAAAGAGAGTTGGGATTTGATCGTCATAGCTTTGCTTACTCACAATATATTATATGGTACTGCTTCCAAATGATAGGATATGTAGTAGGGTGTTAATTGTTAAGATTGCTGCCCACATTCCTTTGTGGTTAACTAGCAGGTGGGAAGGGAGTTGAGGCTGTGCTAGGAGATCCAAGGTCAGTCTCATGAGAGCAGAAAATGGAGCATCTATGAGAAAAGGGGAGAAAGAGAGTGTTTTGGTTTATGGGGGCCAGCTTGGTATAGTGGTTCGAGTGTTGGACTCTGGACTCTGGAGACTAGGGTTCAAATCCCATTAGGTGACCTTGGGCAAATCATACTCTCTCAGCTTCAGAGGATGACAATGGCAAATCCCATCTAAAGAAACTTGCCAAGAAAATCTTGTGATAAGGTCATTTTAGAGTCACCATAAGTTGGAAATGACTTGAAGGCACATAACAACAACAAGAAGATGCTTTAATTATACATTGCTAAACTGGCTCTTTAGTCCTGACAACATACATCTGTAATGGACATCTATATTGTAGTTCTGAATAAAGCTTTTCTGTTTTATTGCTGAAAGCCTGGACTACAGGATTTCTGTACATAACAAGTAGCCTTTTTAAAACACTCTTTTCTTGTCTTTTTACAGTAAAAAGATTTAAAGAACCTAAAGGAGAGAGACGACCCTGGAGGATATGGTAAGATATTTGAATTTCTTTTTTAAAATCATGATTGAAACAAATCTATTTGTAGTTCATAGGGTTTGATTTCATACTGTGAAACAAATCACTCATCTTCCTGAGACTAGAGTTGCACAGGCTACAGGATGAGAAGGCAGAGTGATGGAGAGGACCGTATCATTTTAGATTGTACCATTTTAGACTTCAGGTTGGAAATACCACCTCTGTATGCTTTTTATCGGAATAGTCTTGCAAATAAAAACCGGGGGGGGGAGGTCTAGGAAATTAAAGCAAAACCCCTCTTTTGTCTGCTTGGTTAGTTGCATATTTGCTGGGAGAGTTTAATGTAGGAAAGCAATTTAAAAAATAATATCACTACCAACCTGAAGTGGTGCAGGCCACTCTGTCACCTAATTCTGTTGCATGAGTGGTCAGACTTGCACCTGGAGGGTTGGATGGTTCCAACATTTGGAGGATTGCCCAAATTTTTTCCATATCATGGTTGCAAAAGCTGGATGGCTGCACAATCATTGCCATATCCATCTTCAGACCTTTTCTTTCATGCGTTAAAACATTTTGTTTGTTTGTTTCATTTGTATGCCACCTTTTTCCCAGAAAGAGAGCTAAAGCAGCTCACAGATGAAAACATTTTTAAAATGTTACAATAAAGTGAAACAATAAGTTGAGTATGTTTGGGATCTTCCTTGCCACCAAGAACATTAAATGGTCCATTGTTCCAATAATATAAATAGGTGATGTGGGGATGCTGCATTTTTGGAATTGGGCTTCCTGAATTTCCCATCTAACACAGAAGTTTTTGTCTAAAATAAAATTTTCATTTCATAAGCTCTGGTGTTAGCCCTAATCCTGTTGTTAGTTTGCGTTAGACTCATTGATTCAGTGAGATTTATCTATCAACAATTAGGTTCACCATTCAACAGTTGATTGAATGGATCTACTCTAGTTGAGACTAAGCAACAGGATTCTTGGGACATCCCATTGAATATATGGATATTAGACATATGAGGCTAGGAAGGCACAATCCTGATCACTCTCTCCACATGTTCAGTTTACACATGAAGGGCAAATCTGAAATAGGCAGTTTCATAGGAAGTGCTATTTCAGGTATTTCAGCATCAATGAGAGGGGAAAACAGTACATAAGATAATGAAAACAATGATAGGAGGGTCATGAGGGAAGCAGGTGCATTGGGGAGTCAGAAGAGCTTGGGAAAGTTACATTTTTAAACTACAAACCCCAGACAACTCCCAGTTCCTCTGGGAACTGTAGCCCCAAAAGTAATTTCCCCAAATTCAGAAAGGCAGTCAGATACATTGCAAGGACTGCTGATGTGGTTGCAGCCTTCTGTGCAAGCCTTAGTCATTCATTTTGGGGAAAGTGCTACTCAAATTTGGGAATCCCTAGAATTCTATAGCAAGAATTACGTGGCCTTCCAGATCTTGTTGGACTGCAATTCCCAGCATTCTTCCCAATTGGCTTGCTGGATAGGCCTGCTGAGGGTTGCAATTTAATTCTCACCCCTGACAGATATTCTTATCATTGTGTCAAGCCATATGTTTTCCCTGCCCCTGTCCTGGCTGGTAAGAACTAAAATGCTGAAAATCTGAATTGAGCTTGTTG